TTATGGCCTTAAACAAGCACCTCGATAATGGTTTGTCACATTATCCTCATATCTTCTCACTCAAGGGTTTCATATCAGCTCAGCCAACCCCTCCTTTATTCTCACCAAGCTATTGTACGTGTTTATCTACTTATTTATGTGGACAACATTCTCATTTATGGAAATGATTCCACCTTCATTTCCACACTTATCCAAAAACTACAAAAATAATTTTATATCCATAATTTAGGTGTCCTTTCACGATACTTGGCCATTTATTTCTACATATCTACTATATGCTATCATCAGTCTCAGCAAAGTTACATTTCTGAAACACTTCATATAGCTGGCATGTCCTCCTACAAACCATTGTCCACTCCTCTGCCATCCAAATAGTCCACAGATACTACATTATAAGATCACTTCAACCATCTATATCGATAGTTAGCAGGATCTCTAGAGTACCTTACAAACACCCATCCAGATATTGCCTTTGCGATAAACAATTTGGGCCAACATATGCATCAAACCTTATTCAGTCACTTTCAACTTCTAAAAAGGATACTTCGCTATCTCAAAGGAACCATGTATTTTTGTCTTCTTCTTCTTCTTCTTCTCAAAATTGATCTTACACTTTCAGCACACTCATACTCTGATTGGGCCAGCGACCCAGGATTAAAAATCTACAACAGGGTATTGCATTCTTCTTGGCAAAGCACTCATCTCCTTATACATTAAGAAGTAGTCCACCATTGCTCATTCTTCAAATGAAGCTGAATACCGCTCTCTTGTTTTCGTCGCTACTGATCTTATTTGGATTCGACGTTTATGCTAATATTTTTCCATATCACTTGAATCTACACTCTTATGTGATAATATTTCATCCATATCTATAGCTTTCAATACTATATTTCATGCAATAAACAAACATATTGAGATAGACATCAATTTATTCAAGACTGCATTCAAAATCAGCATATCACAATTCATCATGTTTCCACCACTGATCAACTTGCGGACATTTTTACAAAATCCTTACACACATCTAGACTTACTTATCTTAGAGGCAGGTTGTTGGTTTCACCACCCATCAACTTGAGTGGCAGTGATAACAATAGCCGCACAACATCATCATCTACACATACAATTTTTGCTTTTGGCTTATAACCTACTTCCACTACTTGGCATAATTTACCTTGATAGCTTTATGTAATTACCATGGGTACTCTTGTTGTTATACATTACATAATCTTTAGATATAAATACACTACTGTATTCTTTCTATATGAAATGAGAATATATTTTCCTCTGATTTACATCTCTATGATTTGTTAGCTTAATGGTAAACAATGAATACTTCAGTATTCACTGATGAAGTTCTTTTACACTAATGACCTCTCAAATGGGTGTAAGGTTGTTTCAACCAAAAATTAAAACATTCCATCAAATGATTCATCTTGATCATATAATATTTTTTTAGCATATAGTGTTAACAATATCAAAATTTCATAATCGTAGGCTTATCAGAACATTTATGTCACATAGATGCTCGTTTCAACCACACTTACTTAATAATCAAGGAGTGTTTGGTCTACCAAATGTTCTTATAAATTTTTTTTTACCATAATTGTGATTTCTTGATGTTGGTTCAATTGAACTTTAATCACAATGCTCTTCATATTACTGTTAGGTTTGTCACATTAAAATATTCATTTTCAATGGTAAGTTTAGTAAAAATGGAGTTCATATGATGATATTGAAATCAAATCGATAAGTTTTTGGCTAGAATACTTCTACACCTTTGACATTGATGCAGTCGGACAACTTATATTTGATCTCCACTATCTAATTTTTGTCATTAGATCATGTTCATCTGATCATTGTTATTGGGTCATCACTGTCAGACTACTATTACCAAACCACCAGTGTCGAAGCACCATTGTTAGATTATCGCAGTACAACCATCAATGTTGGATCACCACCGTTCAATCATCACCATCGAACCACTGCTTTGGACCATTGTCTCCCAATTATCTGAGAGAGTTTTGAATTTCAAGAATTTTAATGCTCAACTCATCTATATAATCTTGCCTTGTTAAGAGGAAGGAGAAACTCTTGAAATGTTTATATTATATATTAAACTTTTAGCTATTAACCACTATAGTCGGACAACTTATATATGATCTCTACTATCTGATTATTGTCATTAGATCACGTCCATCCAATCATTGTTGTTGGATCATCACTGCCAGACTACCATTGTCAGCCCACTATTATCGAACAACTGTCGCCAAACCACTAGTGTCGAAGCATCATCGTTAGATTATTGCAATCCAACCATCACTGTTAGATCACCAATGTTAATCATCTAAGTCAACTGGCTGGCTTTGGTGTCTAACTTCCATATAAGACCAAAACGTTGGACTTCACCATCGAAAAATCATCTCCCAATTATCTGAGAGAGTTTTGAATTTCAAGAATTATGATGCTCAACTCGTCTTTATAATCTTGCCTTATTAAGAGGAAGGACAAACTCTCAAATGTTCATCTTATATATTAAACTTAGAAATTTTTTAAGGCACTTGTGAACTTAAAAATCTTTTTTATCTAGGTGCATACTAATTTTTTGTCCAACGTTAAAATAAAGAGTTCGTAGTTTAAGCCTGCAAATGCTCTAGGTGAGATAATGGCGAATGATTAAATATATGTGAAAATGAATGAACAAAATTTAAGGACTTTTATTAATATTTGATACGGCATCACAAAATTAGCTTGATTGAGCACGAATCTCGAGGCAAAATCAGTTCGGAAACTTCAAAATTTAAATTCGAGAGCATATGAACTCCAATTTTGGCGAGCTTACAGTCAAACTGAGCGTCTTGGAAATACAAATCCAACGACACTAAATTCGACCCAATCCGAGCCCAAATGGGTCCAAATCAAGGACCCGAAGCGCTATTGGAAGGTTCAAACAACAATTGAGTTACCAAACGGTCTCCGATTTTGATGAGCTTATACTCGAATCGAGCAGCTCGACGAGACGAATCCAACGAGCCCATGATCGCCGAATTCCGACATCATTAAGGCCTTCAAATGCCCAACGAACGGTGCATGATCAAAGGATTCGATATCGGCCGTCCATTCAAAACACTCCCAATTCACCCCTGATCTCACGCCTATTTACGGGCTATGTCACTCCAGTAAAACTATAAATAGAGCCCTCATTCTACACCAAGGGGACTCAAGTGAAGAGAGAGAAAAAGAAGAGAAGGAGGAGAAGGAAGAAACTCTTCCTCGACCACCGCCGGAGCTCTTCCTACCGCCTGAAGACGCCGGAACTCTGTCGGATATTCGGGAGAACGCCAGAGTTCTGCCCAACTTCCATGGGATGCTGAAATTCTTCTCAATTTACAAGAGAGTTTCCTCCTGACGTCGAAACTCCGCCCAAGTGAAGCCGGAGTTCTCCTCTGCCACCAAAGACGTCGGACTTCTACCCGACGTCGGACCTTCACTCTTCGCCAAGTTTCTACCCGACGCCGAACTTCTACCGGTTATCGGACTTCACTGGACGCCTATGCGAAGATGCATTTCTTTCCATTGCTGGACTTCTACCTGACGCTGTCCTTCTGATCTTCGTCGTCAGACTACAGTCTTTCCGACATCCATCGCCCGTTGACTACGGACCTTCTGACTTATGTCGCCCTCCGACTACAGTCTTTTCGACCTTCGTCGCCCGCGGTCCTCCTGACTTACATCGCCCGCCGACTACAGTCCTCCGTCGCCAGCTGACTATGGTCCTCCTGACCTACGTCGCCCGCCGACTGTAGTCCTTCCAACAAAATGAATACGTCGATAGTAGCTCTTTGTATTTACATCATGTAATGTACTCCATAAGATGTACATCAAGCTAAGGCCTTCTCCCAAGGAAGGGCCTCATTTGTAATCGACTGCAAATACTAGTGAATTCGTTCAAACTGGGCTAGGCCCCGTGGTTTTTCCCCCTTTTACAGGGGTTTTCCACGTAAAAATCTTGGTGTTTCATAAATGCTAGACCCTCTCTCCTTATCTGATTGCATGCCGGATTTTCGTACAATGCTAAGACTTTAAATATGATATTTCTCTACCGCCGCAAATACTCCTGGACGCAACAATATTTAAATTAGTTATAGGAGCATCATCTTAAAATAATTTAGAAATGAGCAAACTAACTAAATCGTTTGGTCTAAATACTGCTATAGTTGCAAAATTTCATTAGAGTTCAGACAAAATTTTAGGCAAAGCATCATTAGCATAATAATTAGTTGATTAAGCATGCACAATAAATGCATTTCAACAAGGAAAAATCGACTGTTTAGAGGAACGGGCGAGTTGCTAATTAATCAAAATTTGTTCAAAAAAATCATATATCTTCTAAATTTGTAAAACCGTATATATTTATAAAATTTTGCAACTGTAGCAGTATTTAGAATGCACCAAACCGTTTGGTGCATTCTGGAAATGCTAAACAATTTGGTCAATTCTATAGAATGCACCAAACTGTTTAAACTGTTTGATGCATTTTGAGAACGCCAAACTGTTTGGTGCATTCTACGGTTTAGTTAATTTGCTCATTTCTAGATTATTTTAAGATGATGCTCATACAACTAATTTAAATGTTAATAAAGCTCCTCCTTAAAATTTGTTTCTAAATTATTATAAATAGATACTAATCTAAAGCTCTTATTTATTCTCATTTGAATTATTGAAATTTAAAATGAAAGTGTGAGGTTCTTATTCTCTCCAATTGCCATAGAAATTGCAGTAATAAAGTTATTAACTGCAGCATTAAAATTCATTTAAAATGATTTAGATTGATTCAAAAATTATGTTTTTAATCACTCTCATTTTGATACAAAACACGACAGATCACCTAAAAAATAAATTTGAATTTCGAAACAAAATATGACAGTTCACCTAAAAATAAAACCTTTTTTCAACCTGAATGCAGAGAAAGTAAAACAAAAATAAAAGAGAAAAATTCAAAACCAATCAAGGTGATCCCCACATCTTCTTCCTAGCTGATGCCATGCTTTCCTCTCTAGAACCTCCCATAACACAGCACAACACACTTGTCCTGTACAGACCCCCTCCCTTTCCTGGCTTTCATCACTCTCATCTACCAAAATCTCGTCTTTCTCACAAACAAACAAAAATTTGAAGGAAAGATCGACTCATGCCTCATAGTAACAGTTCTAATGGTGGAAGCCCTATCAACAACATTAGCATAGTATGGTTCAGAAGAGACCTTAGAGTTGAAGACAACCCAGCTCTTGCAGCAGGGGTAAGAGCTGGATATGTGGTGCCTGTCTTCATTTGGGCTCCAGAAGAAGAAGGCCATTACTACCCTGGTAGGGTTTCAAGGTGGTGGTTGTGCCAAAGCTTGAGGCATCTTGATTCCTCCCTTAGGAGCCTTGGGACTAGTCTCATCACAAAGAGGTCTTTTGACACTGCCTCCACTCTTCTTGATCTTTTGAACTCTACTGGTGCCACCAGCCTTTTCTTCAATCATCTCTATGGTCATCTCTCTCTCTCTCTCTCTCTCTCTCTCTCTCCTCTATGGAAAGGAAAAAAAATCATTAATGGCTGTCAATTTGTTTCATTTATTGCTTCTATATTTTTGGAGAACGTACTGTCATTTTACTATTGGGCGAGTTTTCTTCATTGTTGTTAATGTTGTTGTAGATTATGTGCATCTTTTGTTAAGGTTTTTGATATTAATTTAAGAATTTAGGTTCGGGAGTCTGTTTTTTTCCTTTGCACTTTATGATTTAAAAGTTTTCTGGATTAAGGCTACCATGTTTATGGCACTCTGTTTTTTTCTTTCAGAAGCTTGGAGTCTTCTATTGTTTTTATTAGGGTCTGTTGTACTTTAAGTTCTTTTTCTTCCGTTTTTGTTTAAGCTCATATACTGTAGCAGTTTGCCATTTTTAAAGTCTTCAATCTTTTTGTTTGTTCCTTAACTCAAAATAACAAAGAATTTTTTACTGGGCTTTAATTTGCTTGTGTTCCACCGATTGTTTTATGCATTCGGTTTTTGATAGGTTTTATATATTTTTTTGATAATTCTCTTTCCAACTTTTGGCAATTAGGTGAAATCCAATTTTGAATATATATCTTTCTTTACACAAAATCTATGCTGCTTATAACCTATATTCTCTATATTCTTCCATTTCTTTATGTCTGAACTATGTGTTTGCTAACTGATAACCTCATCTGGATGCAACAAGAAGCATAAATCTTATTGCTATTTCTCGGAATCTACATCTGCCCTTTGTTTTTGTACCCCCTTGAGAGAAATCTCCAATTTCTTTTTCCTGTATCTATTGTTTGCCTTATTATCTTAATTTACTTATTCTTTGCCGATTAAACATAACATGAGATGATTTTTAATATTAGGATATGCATTCCATGAACAATGGAAGAAATTTTGAATGATGAATTGGTTGAGAATAGAATCATAAGATTACTTGGTATATTTTTCTTCTAATTCTAGAAAAGATAATATAACATTTAGATTTAACATAAGTTATGATCTATTGCTAACAACAACAACAACAACATCAAGCCTTTGTCCCACTACGTGTGGTCGGCTACATGAATAATTTTTTCTTCATTGTGTGATGTTAAAAATCAAATTCTCGTTTAAATCTAATAAAAAAATCATTTTTAATATTTTCTTACCAAGTCTTTTTAGGTCCTCATATACATTTCTTATCATAAGTCAAATCTAATACCTCTACTTTACTAACCGGGTCATCGGAAGGCCGCTGTTTTATGTGAACAAATCATCTAAGGCAAGTAGGCGACTCTCTCTAATCTTATCTTCCACTGGAGCTACTCCAACCTTTTCATATATATGCTCATTTCATATCCTATCTCTAAGGGTAAAGCCACTAATCCACCTGAGCATCCTCATCTATGTAGCACTTAACTTAGTATTATGCTTCTCTTTTAATGACCAACATTCGGCACCTAGTTAAGATTTATTCCTATTTGAAAAAAAATGTATTTGGAGATCCTGATATGCTCTTTCGTCAGGATAGGAAGACAGATTATCAAAGATGGGAGATAAATGCTCAAAATAGAAAACATTTAAACAAAAACATAAAATAACCCCAGATGGAAGCTTTTTATCATTTGCATTATTCTATTTCTGCTTAAAAGTCTTTTAATTTTAATAATATGTTTTTCCTTTCTAAAAGGTAGGGGTAGACCTAAAAAGATTTAGTTAGAAAATATTAAAAAAGATCTTTCTTTATTAGATTTAAACGTGAATTTGACTTTTAACAAGACAATGGAGAAAAATGATTTATGTAGCCGACCCAACGTAGTGGGACAAAGGCTTGTTGTTGTTATTGTTGTTTGTTTGTTTTCTCATTCTGGCATGGCAATGCATGAGTATGTCCTGATACTTTTTTTTTTTTTTTTGTTTGTGATTGCTATGCTCTTAATTCTGAAACACCTCGGTTTTATCCAACAGACCCTTTGTCTCTTGTGAGGGATCACCGCATCAAGGAGCTTCTGACTGCTCGGGGTTTCACTGTTCATTCTCTGAATGCTGATTTGCTTTACGAACCATGGGAAGTTACAGATGAGAATGGTTGCCCATTTTCAACTTTTGCTCCATTCTGGAATAAATGCCTTAGCATGTCCTATGATCCTGCAGCTCCTCTCTTACCACCAAAAAGGATTAAATCTGGTTTGTTCCTGTTTAATAAATGACATCATCATCTCTATTAAGTTAAGTTATTTTTTTTCATGAACCAACAAAGGGATGATATTTACTCTTCCAAAGAAATCTTTCATATGCACTTTCTTGAATATGTTGTACGTTCATGTTATGTTTTGTGGATGGGCTTGTGCAAAGTTAGATAATTTGGCAATCCTATTCAACTTGAAAGCTCAAGTCAAAGTTTGTGGGTCCATAAATAGTATATCAACTTGCTCAACTTTGTAACAAATTTGATGTGGCGTTGGCATATCATTCATTCCCCTGAGAATTCCCAATATCAGCCATTACTCTTGCATCAAATTTCATATAACAATGGCACACAAAAGAGCTCACTCTAACATGGGTGCTACTCTTTGAGGTGAAGATACTCAATAATGGGAGTTTGTTAGAAAGTGAACCAAATGGGGATCAATTTTGAGCTTGATACATCACTTATCAAATTCATTTTCAACCCATAAGGTTAAATTTATAGTTGATGGACAACCACTTGATATTTCTATGCCAACATGTTTTTGAACTATCAGATATGAGACTAAACCAAGGTTTCACATGTCTTAGCAATCTTCTCTTCCTGAGTTCGGAGAGCTTTGCATCTTAGCCACCACTCTTTCTCAAATAATAGTTTTTTAGCATCATCAATTATCATGCGCTAAGAGTCAACTCCAACAGTTTGGGAGTCACTAACTGAACTTTGTTCAACTATACTAGAAAGAGCTAAAGACATACGATATACATAAACCACATAAGTCATTTAATCCCATCTGAACAATCAGCTTTGATACCACTTGCTATGGAGTGAACCAAATGGGGATAAAGTTGGGTCAGATATTAGTAGTCAAACCCATTTTCGACCCACTAGATTAAGCTTATGTATGAGAGCCAACCTTATGATATTTTTACTTCAACATATTTTTTAACTATATGATGTGAGACTAAACCCAATTCTCACGCATTATAACAGAGGTGATACAAACATTTTATAAGATTTTGATCATTATGAGATTAAATTGAGTCCATGAGATACCTATACTTATAAAATTAGAGTAGTCCAAAGATATTTCGAGGCAAATCTTTTATCTGTAATAGCCTAACTTTTCATCAATCTACATTTTATCCACTTTGTCCTAAAAAACGTCAAGATGTCGTCTTCTTGGTAAAACTATTTAAAAGGTTACCCATACAAGAAGTGCTCCATTGCAAGCACATTTAACTTTGAAGTTCATGATGAAACTCTAATTATTACATAAAAAATATCTCAATATTTGATAGTTTATCTTTACTATACTTTCTCTCAATCTCTGCTACTAACTAAAGTCCTTGTTAGTAGCCTTATATGTAGCCTAGAATCATCCATAATGTAGATATGACTCGAGAGGTGGCTCTTATAGATTCAAAAGGTTGGTCCCCTCATATAGCACCTAGACTCAAATGAATTTAAGGAGCAGCTCTCATAACCTAACACTTTGTACTGCATGGTATTTTTAACATCTCAAATTCTCAACTATTGAGATATTTTTCAATTTTTCCTAACAAGGCTCACATTTCTGTTCATTTAGTGCATTTTCTAGAAGGTCACCCATTTTAGAAATGTTCTAGCGTAAGGATACTTGGGAATTCCCAACAAAACACTAACCTTTGCGGCAAAAGATGGGTTGATGTTTAAGAATTTGGCTTTAACATGCTATGCTTGTGACACTATCACGCTTTGCAGGCTCTTAGCAGGCTTCTCTTCAAATTTTTTAATATGAGAAGCCTGACTAGAAGGGAAAGCAGTTTAGGGAGTTTATGTTCATTACTTTTTTCACTGTAAATGGTTTTTTCCTTTCCTTCAAAGCTTACTGAAGCCGTCTTGTTGAATTTAGAATCTACTTATATGGTGCAGTTGATCTCAATAATATTATATATTCTTTTCTGCTTTATGTATGCCTGATGTTGCATTGCAACGAGTATATTTGATTAGAGAGTAAATTATAATACCTATTTTTCCTGGCTTTTGATTTAAGCAATAAACTTTTTTATGATAGTTAAACTTGCAATTAGAGCGAAATTATTCTTTAAATTATTAAAAACATGGATTTAGACGAACTTACAAGAATCAATGTCATTTGAACTTGTGGGCTCCGAAAATTCGGCCCCGGCCTCTGCCCGCTTTTCATTTTTTTATTTGGCGAGGGAGTTTTAACGGATATGTTCCGGGATAAATTTTGGAAGGCAGATGGGTTTGTAGATAAGATACTACCCAGAGATTTCGCCCTCATTTTGTAAAGACTTTATGATCTGTGTTCTGGTTTCCTATAGGCGCAAGCCTCTATAGTTAATTACCCCTCCCGATCACGAGAGAGAACTTTCGATTAAGGCTAGTCGTCAATCAGATACGTATATAATACGTGGTATCTGGCATATAGTAGCAGCATGAATTTGGGATTTGAAATTTGGAAATTGGGTTTGGATTTGGGTATTTGAATGATTAATATTTGAAAATTTGAAGGTTTTGATATTTAAAAATAGAAATTTCACCATCTTGAACTTAAAGCGAATGGTGGGGGAATAGATGATAGACCTGATCAAGATCCCATGGTTCCGTCGTCCCGGGCCATCGTGGTCCCTGGTTTACTTAGTCAGAGAAGATAGTCGACCCAACCTGACAGAAGGATCCTTGTCGGCAGCCATGGGTTGCTTCGTCCAAGGGGACCTTGTAGACCTGGGTTGGATGTTTGTCTAAGGGGACAAATTTGAATTCACCTTAGCTAACAGAGGGCTTTGTGCCCTATTGATCATATCCTATTGATTCATATCTCAAGGATTTGATGCCAATAAAGAACGTAACGGCGCTGGCCATAACCGGTATTTCGTGGTGCCATTTAGCGGCAAAACCACTCGGTTCAGAGGGCCTCGAGTCATAACCGTTTATCCTGCGGTGCCATTTGGAGGCGAACCGCCGGTTAGAGGACGTGTACCACGTCCTTACTGGCAGGATATTGTTTGAGAATGGATCATAGTAATATTTTTGACTAGGCATTTAGCTCTTTGTGAGCTGAAGTAGTTTTAAATTTGTCCACCTCGACAAACTGTTGCGGAGGGTGGATGAATTTTTGCTTTAAATGCGATGGATTTATTTCAGTTTTAAATATTTTTTTTGGATTTTGAGATTTTTGGACTATATGTGGGAGGCATTTGAAAATATTTGGAATGGACCCCTCCGGTTGAGATTTTTTTTGTTCAACGCGGCCATCATCAGGGTATTAGGGGTCATTTCCCTTTGTTGATTAAACCTTGTCAACTCTGTTGGGCTGTCGATAGAAGATCAGGTTTCGTAGGTTTTATGCCCTTTATAGTGAATTCTCATTGTTATAGGCATTGAAGGCCTAATATTAATGTATTAAGACAAATATAACGGTCGCCACAACCGTATAATTGTTTGTTGGTTCGAACCCTATCGACTTCTATTGACCCGTATAGAATGATCAGTTTCGAACCTGAATTCACTTGTCAATCCGCACAGCATCCCTAGACGTCACGTGTGTACCAATAACACGCTCGCCGAGGCCCATGCGGGTTTGGGGGCATTTTATAATTGAGCCCTGTCCACTCCTTTTATCTTCTTAGGAGGATCGGGTTCAAAATTTGATAACCCGCGCAGCATCCCTAGATGTCACGTGTGTACCAATAACATGCTCGCCGGGGCCCATACGGGTTGAGATTATATTTTTCCCTTTAGTGTACCTATGTGTATACAAATTACAGTGCACGTGCAGGGGTATTCTTGGAATAGATGTCTTCTGTCTGCTTGTACGAATGTTGCAGATCCGGTGGCGTGTTGTAGCAGCTTGTGGATTAAGTTATTTGTTGCATTGTACATGTAGACTGTCGTACACTGCTTATTGCTTTTCACATGTAGTTTGTTGTGCACTAACGAATCTCCTGCTTCGTTCGTAGATGCTTGTATTCGTCGTAGTTGTTTGGCACTTGTTCGTAAATTTTATGTAATATTCATAGCGGGACTCCAACATAAGCTCGTGGGAGCTTGTATCTGTAGTATCCTTCATGCACTTTGTTGTGGTTTTTGGCTCGTGTAGTACATCCGTCATTACTACAAGTAGGCAGGTAAATGCATTCCTTCACAGACTGGAATTGACTTCAGGATACTGCATTTACTGAAGCCTTTCTACAGCTACCCAAAGTGGCATTTGACACATACATTTGTCTTCGTAGAGAGATTGTATGTATTGCAGATCATTTGTTGTATGTTGTTATTCGCATATTGATTGACATGATCTTCAAGAGCCTACATTGTTGCTTGTGAACCAGTTCCAATTGCAAACTCCTAACCTTTAAGGAAAATTTGGCATATACATGATAAATTTGATATTCATCATTTGCTTGATATTCACCCCTCATCTAGCATGAAGGCTTTCAACATTTGTGTGAAGCTTCATGCTATTGGTTGTAGGTATGTCATTGCATTCATGCTCTTGCAATCATTACAATTACTCCAAATCACCCACATACATGATTGGGGTAGATGTATGAATCATTCATAAACATGCTAAATTGAAATACATGAATCCCTTACTTATCCATTTGATATTCATTTGAATACATAATGGACTAAGTACTTGTTCATCACATGATATCTTGAGCTTAGTTTTTTTTTATTATCTCTTCAAATTAGATCATTTATGATTCATTCAAATTCTTATGTGTTTCAACTTGAATTCAAGCTCAAGTGTAGTCCTCCATTAGTTCTCTTTCACTTAGTTCAAACTCAAGTTTGAGATTCATAGTTCTTGCATTTGTTCACTTAGGCCTCCTTGTCATTGCCATCTTCATTTGAATGATTATGATTGTCACTTATCATTCAATGCTTGTAGAGATCACAAATCCCTTATAAATTCATCACTTTGATCAATTGATATTTGATTGCAAATTTTTTATCCTTATATGAAGTTCAATTCTATGTAGTCCTCTTATATTCAACTTTATTTGATTTTGAATGTCATTATTATTTAACATTCATTTGAGCACAATTTAGTTGCAATCATAAGTCTTATTCTCTTTTTTATTCATTCAAATTTTTATTCAAATTGTTCAAGTCATCTTTGAGCCTATGCTTTATGTCCCATGCTGTCCAAATGATATCCAATATTTGTCCAAGTTCTTGTCTTTTTTCAGACAAAATTTCGGCAGCCTCCCGGCGTCTCCCCCGTTTAGGGGAAAAATGAAGAGGCCGCCTACCCGCCACGCCACCAAAGGCGTGCACGGTTGGTGTTTGTGAGACACCGCGGCGGTTGTATTTGTTTTTCTCCCACCACGCGCACCTTCGTAACATATTTGAACCGCCTTTGAAATTTTTTTTGACACTTTAGACGATCCAAATTTATTAAATAAAATGTGTATTCTCAATGTTGGGGACGTTCCGGGCGCAATGATGCTGTCCGTTTATCAATCGGACGTCATCTGGGCATCTTCGAGGTCTCATTTTCGTCGTAGCGCAGGCCTTTATATTACATTTGTATCGCCTAGAAATTCGTCACCATCTCAGATGATCCAAATTCATTAAATAAAATGTATATCCTGAATTTCAACGACGTTCCGGACGCCATGGCGCTGTCCGTTTGTCGATCAGATGTCGTCTGAGCGTTTTCGAGGGCTCCTTTCCATCGTAGCGCAGGCCTTTATATCATTTTTTTTGTAAATTGCCCAGGAATTCACAACACTATTGATGACCTTTGCAACAAATGGAGATAAAAAAAAAAAAAAAACGTTTCAATCATCTTTCTAGTGGTGTTAGGATTCTTCTTATCAACAAATGTATGAGAGTTAAGGAGCTGCAAACACTGATCTTTCTCCAAACCTTCTAATCTAAATACTTCAACCCCCCCTTTTTTTCTTTTTTTTTTTTTAATAATTGTTGCAATCATCATTGCAGCTGAGCCCGTTCGAGTTGCTATCAAAATCCTACTACCGAAACTCCCATAAGCCAAAGGGGACGAGCACCTTTTCCATTTACTTTTATCCTTATTCTCATCATCCTCCCAAATGTCATCTAGCACAGGTAAGGACTTTTTGGACATAATCTCAGCCTGAAGACTATCTTGAAGTGCCTCAAGTATCCCCAAATGAGGCCTCTCCTTCTTAAGAGATTCCAACATATCTATAATGGCTTCCCTTTTTTTTTTTTTCAATTTCGTTGGAAACATAAACCCACATTTTAAGATCAAATTTCTTTGTCATTTCATCTTCATAAACATGTTGTAGGAGAGTTGTCTTTCCCATACCGCCATGCCCCACTATAGGTAGGAGAGATATTTTTCTGTACAAATCAGCTCCATTAATAGAAGCTTGATGTTCCCCATTTGATTGCTTCTTCAACCAGTGCATAACAAAACCCAATGCAATCCATATTAAAGCTGAATTCTCTTTATCGAATTTAAGATTATTAGGTTGGTTGTAGAGGTCAACATAACTGCAAGTCAAATCAATTCTTAACTGGAGAGTTGCATATTTTTTTATCTTTTTGTTTATTATGGTCATACAAAAATTCTCAGCATGCTGTTTTTATTTTTATTTTTATCTTAGTATTAGCTAGAATTCTATCTTTTCTTAATCTCATGCCCCTTCTTATAGCTGCAACTATCCCTAACAAACTAACAAAAATGTGTCTAAAGATTTGGCTTGCATCATTTTGATAAGTCAAGGACATGATGATGGAGGACTTGCATACAGAGCACTCAAAATATTAACATTTACATATTTCACACATAAACATCACTATTTACTCCATCTAGCACTCCGGTAACAAAGTTAGCAGATGACATGCATCAGATCTATCGCGGCTCATCTTTAGGCTCATATTCGTGGTTGCCTGGACCCATTAGTGCCTTCCTCTGGGTTTGTCACGGTCATCACCACACTAGCCACCACACAGAGCGAGGAAATTACATGGGGGCTTGTAGCAAGGGTATTGATGGGTTAAGGCGGGATGGAGCTTGCAAGCGAGGGCATTGACATGTCTGGCAGCACGAGCGGTGGGCATGGCAAGCATTATGATGCGTTAGGGAATTTACGGAGGTGTGTTATTTTTTATTTTGTTTAGAAGTTTTGGGTGCTATGGATATAAATACTGAAGTTTAGATATGAAATATATAAATGTTGATATTTTGAGTGCTTTGTATGAAATTACGCCCTAAATAATTTATATTTCTGTCTCGGGAAATAATACATCATCCATTATATAGATCAATGTTGGTTTATCAAGTAAATCTGAAATTTTCAACATTTCTCCTTGTAATTGCTTTACCACTCATTAAACTCTTCCTTTGTTAAACATGGATTTCTCTTTTACTGTATCTGTGATTGATAACCATATAATTATTACAAAAAGGGCTGTTAGTGCTATGTTTTTTGTTGCAGCTCTTTTTGGAGAAGCTGAACTAAATTCTGCTCGTTTATTTGTGGACTTTTGAATCTATATTTTCCATTGTTGTAAAATAATAAATACAGTTGTGTGAGTGACAGCTCCTTCTATAGGTGATATCTCAAGGTGCCCATCTGATACTTTAGTATTTGAGGATGAATCCGAGAGGGGAAGTAATGCTCTTCTTGCAAGAGCTTGGTCTCCAGGATGGCAGAATGCTGATAAGTCCCTCAGTTCATTTATCAATGGACCACTTATTGACTACTCTGTGAACCGAAAAAATGCAGATGGTACAACCACCTCTCTCCTTTCCCCACATTTACATTTTGGGGAGCTCAGCGTGCGTAAAGTCTTTCATGTTGCCCGAATCAAGCAGCTGGTGTGGGCTAACGAGGGAAATGAAGCAGGAGAAGAGAGCGTTAACTTATTTCTCAAGTCCATTGGCTTACGGGAGTACTCTAGATACTTGAGTTTCCACCACCCTTGCAGCCATGAAAGGCCGCTACTTTCTCACCTCAGGTTCTTCCCTTGGGTTGTTGATGAAAGCTACTTTAAAGCTTGGAGACAGGGTAGAACTGGTTATCCCCTTGTGGATGCTGGAATGAGAGAAATTTGGGCTACTGGTTGGCTGCATAACTGTATCCGTGTGGTTGTATCCAGCTTCTTTGTAAAAGTACTGCAGCTTCCATGGAGGTGGGGAATGAAGTACTTCTGGGATACACTTCTGGATGCTGATCTTGAAAGTGATACCTTGGGCTGGCAGTATATATCTGGAACTCTTCCTGATGGTCGGGAGTTTGATCGCATTGATAACCCTCAGGTATACTTATTACTTTTTAGAAATTTCTCTCTTTAACTTTATGGTATTGTTTATGTTGTTTAGGGAGTTCTTTTTTTTTTTTGTTTTTTCATCATGGTAGAGTTTTGTTTTTTTTTACTAGATATTTGAATTTGATTTGTCAATGAAGTTTGGGTTATTAGGTTTAAATGTTGAATCAAATGTTGAAATCCTTTTTTTAGAGATGTTTTGGACTTCAATTATAATTGATACTTTTCATTCTTTCAAACTTTCATTCAGCATTTTAATTGTTATAGAATCTAAAACCAATAAAAGATATCATTTTGGACACTCAGGGGTTGTTTGGTAGCAGGATTTAGGTCGGATTTGAGTGAAATCAAGCCAAACGGCCTAAAATGCAAACTAAATCTCACGGAAAAGGAAAGCCACCGTAAATGGAAAATTCCGCCTTTTCGTGCTAAATCCCGGATTTCCGAAATCCTGTTTTTGCCGGATTTACGAAATCCATTGGCTCGAGAGGAAGAGTCCGCTCGTTAAATCCGCTCTATAGCCAAACAGTCGCACCGGATTTAATAGGATTTATCATGAATGTTTAGGATTTTGGCCTCTCTGTATTTCGAAATATGGATTTAGAGGATTTACGAAATCCTACTTAAATCAAATCCTGGGTACTACCAATTTGCCCCTAAATTATGCAACTTATGTTACTGTTCATATAAATTTTTAAGCTCCTAGTTAACTTGCCTGGTTCTAATTAGCCGTACTTAAAAGTTTGAAGGCTACAAGTTCGACCCAGATGGTGAATATGTTCGTCGCTGGCTTCCTGAGCTTGCTAGGCTACCAACTGAATGGATACACCATCCATGGGATGCGCCTGAATCTGTACTCCAAGCTGCAGGCATCGAGCTTGGTTCCAACTACCCTCTTCCAATTATAGAAATCTCTACAGCTAAAGAAAGATTAGAGGAGGCTCTCACAGAGATGTGGCATATTGAAGCTGCATCGAGAGCTGCCATGGAGAATGGGACAGAAGAGGGCCTTGGTGATTCCTCAGAGTCACAATATATTGATTATCCTATTGAAACGAATATGGAAGTTGATCTTGAGCATACTAGGACTAATAATATTCAAGCCACAACCAGGAGGTTCTTGGATCAGACAGTGCCTAGTATAACTTCTTCATTAGTCAGAATTGAAGAGGAAGAGATATCTGTCGATATAGACATCGGTGAGGAAGATAGCAGGGCCGAAGTACCAATAAATGTGACTATTGATGCCCAGATTCATGAAGGCACAGATACAAATAGTACAATCCTACATTTCACTCCTTCCAGGGTTGAGTTTTCAGAAGAGTCATCTAGTAGTTATACAGAAAGGGGTCTGGTTCCTGTGTGGTCTCCTTCATCAACTTCAACTCCATCTGAGCATTTTTTCACCCAGGAAACTAGCAGAGGTTATGCTGATTTACAGAGACTTCCCCAGGCACATCAAATTACTAATTGGAGACCGCATTCGCCATCTGTGTGAGTTAAAAAAATTCATCTTTTTATCTTTCATTACTAAACTGTTAATGGCTCAAAGAAAACTAGCAAGCCTCATGAAAAACTTCTTTCTTTTACTTATTACACCTGTTGTTTAGGCTCATAAACTATAAAATATATTAGATAGGTGGTACTCTAGTGATAAGAGAGATAGAGATGGATATTAGAGGGGGAGGGATTGATAGAAACCATGAATGGATGCTTCTATCGCATTTTCTCTTCTATTTCATTTTCTTCCTATATCTGTCATGTATCTTAGCAACATCTCTTGTGTCTCCTACTGAATATTTACTTACTCTGTATACGATAATGCTGACAATCAGAAATTTCATCTAGCAGAAGTTGGGAGGTAGAGAACACGGTGCAGCCAAATGCAATTGGTTAGATTCTATTATGGAAATCAGATGTAGACAATCCATCCTTTTGTTCCTCTTACTTTGCTGAGAATCAGATTCTGCAGAATATCAATGTACCATAAAGTTGATGTATAGATAACTCTAGCAGTGGTGTGCTGCTATCGATCAGGTAACTTGAGTTTTATGTGTTAGGAAAAATATATAATTTTTAGGCACAAAATCATGTAACATAAAACTTTATATAAATAACTCTAGCGGTGGTGTGTTATCATCAGATAATTTTGAGTTTTGAGTGTAAGGGAAAACATCCAACCTTTTTGTGGAAGCTCAATGCATAAAATTGTTATATAATGCCTCGTTTGAGATGGCTTAATTTCGCCTTTTCAATTTTGAAACGGTAGAAATTTTTTTAAGCTGTTTTTTGTATGTGCCACTTTTACAGAAATGCTTTTTAGATAACTGTATTTTTGTACTGTTTTCAAAAACTTTCTGATATTAACTTTTTCGTTAGAAAACTCCGTTCTCTAAAACAACAGTTTTAAAAATACTTTTTAGGAAAGGTACAGAATAACCAAACGAAGCCTAAGTAACACTTGCAATGATGTGTTGTTTATCAGGTAATTTAAGTGTTGAGATTGTTAAGATAAACATGAAAAGCTTTTATGTTGTAGCATGTACCTTGACTTCTACCCATTAGAGTTTTGAATGATGTCTTTTAGTTTTCTCATTAAACCAATAGAATACATAACTAGATCTAGGATTCAAGTTTAGTAGTTAACAATAGTCCTGCCATCAATCATGCTAAACCAAATAAATATATATCAAATATGAAGCTTTTACTGGAAAGTTTAACCGCCCAAGACCTAAGTATTACCCACATTGTCACAATAGATCACTAGGGACTGAAAAAAGTAGATGCTAGGTTCTAAGATTATGGAGTTGTCCTATTGAATATCAACAATAATGGTGGCAATAGTGTGACATTCAAGCTCGGTGGAGGAGTGGGCTACGGTACATAATTTGTTTGGGACGGCTTTTTTGTTGCCTCTTAAAGCAGCTTTTTAGTATAAAAATTAATTTTTTTATACTAGAAAACTACTTTAAGGAGCAACAAGAAAGTCGTCCCAAACGAGACCTAAAAAAGATGGGGTTTTGACTAAGATATATAATGTAGGCACTAATAGAGGTGAAGTAATCCTTATTATCTGTTCAATTAGTATTAGAGAATACATGGTGAGTCACAATGAATAAAAATATTATGACTGATAGTGCCATATAGAAAGCATAATGGTCATTTGGTTGGATTTTAGTGATTAGTAGTGTCATGACCCAATCTAACTTAGCATGTACTCCTAAAATGTTAACTTGGATTGGATAAGAGACAACAAATTCGCCCAAGATCTAATTAGAAAGAATTGTATTTTTTATCTTCTAATTAATCATCCAGAATAGGGGTTTCAATATTTGACCCGACCCGAAAACCCGACCCGAACCCGACTCGAAAATTTCAGGATCGGGTTAGGGATTTCGACCCGTTTGCAAAACCGGGTCGGGTTCGGGTTGACCTGGAAACCCGAAAGCAACCCGATTTGACCCGTTTTTAATTAATTTAGGAGGGTTTTAATGGATTTTTATTAAATAAGTAAATGATATTTCAAAAAATTATAAACATTATTGTCCAAATTAAATTAATCTTGATTTATTTTAAATTAATTGAAGTAAATCTTACCTTAATTTGATTTAGATTTAAATAAATTGAATTAAATAAAAAAATTTAATAAAATATATCTGAAACGGGTAGGGTTCGGGTTAACCCGGACCTGAAGCGGGTCGGGTTCGGGTTCGAAAAACCGACCTGTTTGCAAAAACGGGTCGGGTTGAACAGTGTCGGGTCAATTTCGGGTTGGACCCGAACCCGACCCGTGACCCGGTTTTGACAGCCCTGATCCAGAACCACTAGTTATCCAAAAATAAGGTAGCAGAAAAATAACATTTCATTCCATTTTATAAACATAACTATATACATTTTCATTTCTAATAAAAAAATCATATACAATAAAAAAAAATCCTATTATATCAGTCCACACAATCTTTTAGGCTACAAAAATAAATAATAAACAAAACACCTATGACAACAACTCGGATTAACCCCACCCCACTAGATCCTAACAGAGTGAGCTAACAATCCATAAAGTTACTTGAATCTATAACTGCAATAAATGCATAATAATAGAAACAATGTGATCATTCATAATAGCAGTATGATTATGTAATAGTAAGAATATGTGACAATCAACATGAACAGGAAAAATTAATGCAACCATTACAACTCAATGATTAATGATCAATAACCACATAGAGATCAGCACGATTTATCATCTCTATGCTCATATTAGCACAACATTGTAAGTGAAATGATGTATCTGGACATATCTATTATATACTCTTATTTTGCCTCTATGTTATGCTATCTATACTTGTATGCCTATCATATATTAACAAGTGGTTTATATCTATTCTATGTATGTATACAATATCAATACATTATGTATAAATATAATGTATCATATATACTATGTATTATTGTATTAGTTGTATCTTGGATCTTGTTCATGTCATATCATATCATTTATGCACTTTGATATTATACTCTATTCTACATATGCAATTTTATCATGTATGCATGTCATATTATAAGCAAGGCAGACATTCTGGATTCTGTGGTGTTTTTCCTATATCAAGTCTTACAGGCTTACCCTATATTTACCAGTCTCAACCATATCAGTCTTGTAAACAGGAATTAGCCATATTATTCTCAATCACAGGTTATGTGGCTTTCATGTAAGAAATTGTTACTTTCGATCCATCTGTATATGATATCATATTAGTCAGTCTTTTTATGCCTTTATTTTCATATCTTTTGGAATATCACTACAGATCTTATTTAAAGGAAAGTCTGTGTCTCACCCTCATGTGCAGAGTAATATATCTCCGGTCAACCTAAATCAATCAATCATTTTCAGTTAGCTTATCTTACTTTCACATGCATTTCAAATCATATTCATCATATAATATCAATTATCATGTTATTCAATCAATTATCATAATAGGCCAATCAATCTAATGTACTTATCAAAATGTAGGTATTATCTCAAAATATATATCATATCAATAAACAAGACTTTCATTCATGTCATGTATTTCATGCCTACATTTGAATACGCTAGCTCCTATGTAGTTTAGGCATACTTTTAATCGATTTAGTTCATTCAATATATATATATATATATATAATTATTAAAATGCTCAGAAAAATGACATATATCAAAAATTTCATAGTGAAAATCGTTTAGATCAAGAGAAAATATTTTTTTATCAGATTTAAGAGAAAGAAAAATCGTAAAAATTTAAATCATTGAAAACAAACGAACAATAAACAATAACAGCATTAAGATCCACAACAATAATAAGCCTTTAACCTATTATATGGTATCAACTACATAGATCTTTTTTTCTCCCCATTATGTTCTATTAAAATTCAAATTCTCATTTAAATCTTTAAAAAAAAATATCATTTTTAATAATTTATAATCAAGCACGAGGCCACAAATTAATATTTCAATATTATCCCTACATTATTAAAGAAATGCTATATATATATTCCAAACCCGAATATTTGGGTTAGTCATTTAATGATGATGATGATATGCTACAATGCCAAAGCTATTATAGCATAAGAGAACTGACGCAACTGCTTGTTAAGTTGTTATGTAGCCCCCATTTGAATTAGGTCCAGGCAACTCAAAAAGGTTGACATAAATGAAGGCTAAAAAAAAAAAAAAAGTCAGAGCAGTGCCATTTTATTCTTGCAAATATTAATGTTTGCTAAAAAATTTTAAACATACAAGATTTATTAAATCACCTAACAAGAAATATTATTTTTTGAAACATTTAGGCCAATTAAGATAAAAACTAAAACAAACATCATCACAAATATAAGATTCGAACCCGAAAAATTTTGATTGATAGCCAAAGCTCCTGATCAACGTATAACAATAAATACTTATCCTCCATTATAGCACAGATGTGGCTTATTGCTTCAGTGGTCCAAAAAATTGAAGCAAGCCTTGTGATGCATCACATACTGCCTCAAGATTTGAAAAAATCAGTTAAAGAAGTTTTCATTTATTTAAGAAAAGCAAGAAGCAAAGAAGGTAGTAATAAGGATAAAATGGCAAGATAAATTAAAATCCGCCATTTAGGAGCTCGAGATTGAGAATCAATTTTTTTTAGTATAGAGAAAGTTATTAGAAGGTAAAATGAAATGATGAAGCAAGTTCATAACACATGCTTGCAGGCCTTCACAACTGCAGGCCTTAAGATTAAATGTAAAGGTGAGAGAGAGGCTAGTAAACTTTGCCATATTAAATAGGGCCAAAAAAAAAATCTCCAGCCACCAAATCATTCTCTCACATCTATTGGAGCAGTGGCCATAAATGGATTTTAATCATTCGACTTCAAGGACGATCTTCATAAACTCATATACAAAGTAACTGATGGCAGCAGAAGGTAAAACCTGGAATAAAAGTGCAGATTAGAATTAAAAAGCATAATAGTAGGAGTTTGAGATAAGGCAACACTGAATGATGAGTAAAAGGAAAACACTCATAAAAAAAGTTGATGAATGAATAGGAAGCTAAGTTGACAGACAATAATGGTGGCGTGCCTCTGTGTGTGTGTGAGAGAGAGAGAGAGAGAGTTCTGGTTGTAGAGTCGTAAGTAAACTTAGGAGTTCAAACAGGGAAAAGGAGTTGTTTGAACAACCTGCTGATATACAATGCCACTTCTAGGAGACGCTGTGTGACAGAATTACACTACAGATGCTGTCATTATATATCCAACCTATATTGAAATTAATTCTCTCCGACTATGTTGTGAATCCACCACATAATCTTGTAATTAGCTAAATGTTCGTTAGTAAAGTTATGAGTCTTCTCATTTTTTGTTTCTTTTTTTCCTTTCTTAATTTCTGGAGTGACTGAGCATCCAAAATTGCACAAATTAGCATCAAGGATCCCAATATCATTCATCTTGTTGAGCCTTCCACCTTCTGCTTCCAAATCACCGATTTCGTCAAGCCTGCCTTCAACAATCGCTAATCTAGAGCATATATCAACATCAACTATATCTCCAACCAAAATCTCGCCAAAATCTCATAAGTTTGTCTCATGGAGCTTCGCTGCCATTCGGCTATTCTGCACACAAAGCTGTCTTCTCTAGTTTTGCTTGCCTCTATCTTCGTCTCCATCTCCTTGTGCCATCAATACACGTATTCCACGGTTCATTGAATCTCTGCTCATGCCCAAGAAAACCTCCCTATTATCAATAACTTCATCCAGATTTACGAACAACTCCCCTCAAACCTCGGTTGATCCTCACCAGAACCAATCGGATTTTGTTGACTGCCACCTGCCAAGTCATCGTCTTCCAGCAACTCACTGCCGCTAAGATCTATCACGAAAATCATAAGCTGATCATTCGAGCTCTATTCACAACATTTATCAATATTTCAAATCCTTTCAAGTCACTCACCACACCCATATCTTAATCTTGCTGCCGAATTAAAATCCTACATCGCTATCTTGCATTGTTAGGTCCTCATCATGCCTATGCTCAAGATCCAAATTCCCTGCTGAGCTTCTATGTTCCCCATTTCCAGATCTCTCCGACACCTCCGCCCAATCAAAACCAGTTGACAACAGGCAAAATCACATCTTTTTCTAACATTTGATTGCTTCCTTAAGAAGAGCATTGTCCCTTCCACACATGGCTATAATTTTTCCTCTTCATATAACTGCATAGCCATGTATTGATCTAATATGTTTTCTTTCATGGAGGACGACATCTATTTGATTAAGGATTGTCCAAATGGCATTTATGTTTATTATCTTGAAATATATTACATAATCATAATGAAAATCGTCTTCAACTACTTGTTCAACATACATCATTAACAACAACAAACAATTCTCCACCCACAGCTCTACCTTATGCTAACAAGTTTTGGATTAACCATATTGCGAGTCTATGATTAACATATAAATCATTCTTGTGATTAGTATTGATAATAATGGTTAGTTAATGAGCTAGTTTTATGTCCTAAAAATACTCCTAGTTATGGAGGATGGAAATACAAAAAATATGAATGAGTTTCTCTATTTTTATATTTTTTCTTTATTTCTTTAATTTCTAGAGTGATATAGGAATTTGAATTGCTCAAAATAGAATTTATGATCATCACAAAATGTCTCTTTTATCCCCCAAATTTACCCTCTCAAAGTTGCACTACAATTGTTATGCTTCTTCAATTCCATGGCATTACTTCTCCACATTTAAGATATGTTCATACTTCATAGTAAGTAATATGAATTCATAAGTTCAATGTCCTTTAAAGAGCTTGATCATAATTAAAGAGATAGATGAGCATATAACTACTATAATTAATGTTGGAGAGAATTGCATAAACAATATTATGCAATGATAGGATATCCTAGAAACTCATTAAAGGTAAAATTTATAGAACCATAGTCAGGTCAACGAAGTTGTATGATCTGAGTGTTAGTCACTAACAAAATCATTGATATCTAAGTTGAGCACAACAAAAATGATAATGTTAATACAAATATATGATGACTTTAAAACGGATAAATTAAAAAATGATTATATTAAAAAAAATAATTGAAGTGACATATTGGACTTAGGTGGTGAAAATATTATAAAAAAGGCACTTATTAGAGAGTAAATAAAATGAATGTTAGAGGAATGTGAAGAAGGGTAAGTCCTAGGGTTACAACGATAGAAGCTATTTAAAATGATTTGCAAGGAATAGATTTAATATCTTAGTCAGTACACAATGGGAATGAATAAAAAGTAATGATTCCAAAAGCCACCCCAATTATGTGGGATAAGTCTAATGATGATGATGTTCAATGTCCTACATTTTTTCTTGTGTACAACGAAGATGCGCGCAAAACTAAAGGCTCTCCCAATGTAGGCATGAGCAGTAAGCACTTCAGTTTTGCAAAAAAAAAAAAACCTAGAATAGTTCATTTCACATTTACAATCACCACCATTGTAATTTTGAGAGTGGACAACTGCCCACCCTCAGCATAATGGGGTTCTGCCCCTGGATGGAAGCTTAATAGTACACAAACATTTTTCTTGTAACAAAATTGTGCTCCCAATAAATTCTATAATTATCATAGACATCATGCAAAGGTTCACAATTAGTGGAAGATAGTTCAAGTCCCAAACATTTCATTGAATATTTAAGAGAAATTATTTCAGTTTTTTTACTGCTTTGTAAGGAAGAGCACTTTATATAAGAAAAGATGAACCAGTCTGTTATGCTTCCAGAATGGTAAATATGAAAATTACACATTACAAAACAGGAAGTTACTCGGGGAACCTTGTTTCAGTCTCATCCTACATATATTAAACGTAGAACCTGAATATGTATAGATTAAATGAATGATGTTCATGCTAAGCCGCTCTTGAATAACAGATTTAATTTTAAGAAAGAAACAGAAGGATATTATTTTACCATTTAAATAAAAACTTCTCAAAAGATGCATAAGAGAGCCAACGCATAAAATATAAAGGACATGCTGATATTACCTGTAGCAAGCTTGGAATCAAGCCAGCATAAAGTGCTGGTATACCACCTTGCTCAACTATCTTTACACACGTTGCTAATGCACTTAATCTAGTTGCTTGGACCTGCAATTGTAGTTTCCTCCTAACAACTTCAAAAGGATATGTGGCAGCCTCAGCACAACAGCCAGAAATAGCCCCATACAGTAAAGTTCTCATGGGGCCCAATTCAAGCTGATCCAATGCATTCAATTGATCTCCTTGTTGATTCATCAATGCAATTCTCTTCATTCCTTCAGGCGAATGCAGATAAGCTGACTTCAATATATCATATACTCCATAAAAAACTGCACCAGATGGTGCCATGCTAATAATGGAAGGCACCAATCCCTTATACAAGGAAAAGAATCCCTCCGTGTAGACCATGTGTCTAAATGCGCCGATAACTCCACCTAATGCCTCACCTCCTGGTGCAACCATCTTTGTTCGGATCTGAATAATTTGCAAGCCAAACGACCTTAATCATATCCTTCAAAAAGTTATAGGGAGGTGTTGGGGGGGGGGAGAAAATGGACTAACTATATCTTTAGATATGCATGCTGGACTGAATTTCTAATTTATGAAAAATGAAAAGAAAATGGACTAACTATATCTTTAGATATGCATGCTGGACTGAATTTCTAATTTATGAAATTATAAAGTCGATAAATCATGATATCAAGGAGATAAATATACCTTTAAGAGTTGCTTATTTTGAACAAGGGACAAGATACAAGATGTACTTAGCAGGGGAAAGAAAATAGGGAATAAAGAATCACATTGTAAATTGCAACAATAAATGTCCAGGATGATGCATACCGTGTCCATTGGAATACACAGTATGGTAGCAGTGATTCCAGCTGCAGCTCCAGCAATAAACCTTTCAAAATTAGTCGTTTCCTCATTCCCAGAAATTCTGAGTAGTTGTTTTCTGTATGTATCGTATGCATAGAAGTTAACTGCTTTAAATGGTGCTGTGCGAAGAATATTGACAAAATTTCCTCTCCAAAAACCCTTTAAACCTTGTGTGGTGGCAATTTTCTTAATGAGCTCAAGCAGATTGCTCTGTTCACCTCGAACCATGTACTCCAATTTCAATCTCTCAAGTGGAGCCACAAAGGTTCTGGAACAAGAAAAAAGTGTTCTCAAGTTTTTTTTTTTTTGTGACAATGAAAAAAATAATTTCTCTAGTAGCATTCCAATTAGAAATATAAGGAGATGCTTGTGACAAAAACTTAGACTCGACATTGATCATTGATGTAAACCTATTGTAATTTTAGCTCCATCATACATATATTGAATAAGTTTAGCCTATTTTTGACAAAAATTGTTATCTTAATAGCTACCAAATTAACTCTCATGGAAATCGATCATATGAATTCTCAATATCAATAAAAATTATATAAAAATCATTTCTTTGCTTTCAATGCTACTCCATTAATTGCTTGAACATTAAAACCACTTTCATAGTTGATCATCATGCATGAATGATTCTCTAAAATTGATAAATTTTTCTAGATCTATGTTTCAATACTCTCTTTCATAGCTCCATCATATGACTCGTACACTTGATTCATCTCCAGTTAGCACAATTTGAGAATTGCCATTATTTTTAAATATTGAGATCTCAAACTTGTTTAAATATCGATATCCAACTGCTTATTTTTCAATCATTTAACTTCTTTATATTCTTCGAAATTTTATCAGAAAATTTTTTTTAATCAAATTACTATAATATTCCTCATAATACTAAATCTAAAAGATATCTCATATGGACCTAAATATTAACTTCATGCATTTCCTTCAAAACTAACTCCACTTCACTTTTTGGGGATCAATCTTTAATGAGTTAGTATATTGTTTATTATGCTATTCTAAAATAATTTCTTTGTTAAATCTCTCATTTAGTTAGTATGAGGGGTGATAAACAAATACTATTAGTCTGTCATAGTTATAAAATGAATACATATTGGTATAGTCGAATTCCAAAGGCCAACCAACTGACGAGGAATCCTCCCAAACAAAAAGAAAAAAAAATTAGAATTTGCTTAGTAACAAAGATTGAAGAAAGTGAAGCTTTAATCGGATAATACCATCTCTTATCTTGATCTGAAAGCTTAAGAAGTAAATCATCTCATTGATGAATTCAACAACTTTATACTAATCAAAGGTGTGCCAACTAAAACAATTTCTCTTGTTGCAAGATGGTTACTGATGTAAATGCAAGCTAGATTGTGATTTTCTGATGGTACAACTATAGGAGTTAGGCATAATTGCTGATAAATGCCCATACGATGAAATTATTCTAAGCAAGGACAACATAATGATCGCCTCTACCAAATTAATCAATTAAATATGCTGCTTTTAAGATCACTTACTATAAACTGGAAACGTTCTAATACAAATGCTTCCAAGTCCAACACACTTAGAGCTATATGTTCTCTCACTGAAACTTCTGATATGAAGTGCAAAAAAAATTAATTTAAATGGATGAAAGAAAAGACTTTTCTTGACTGTCGATCCCAAAATAGAAAAAAAAAAACTCTTATATCACTTCTAGTAAGCTGGTTCCAGAAATCAGGAACTTCATGGTTCCTGGAAAGATAGATTGATGAATATGATGGTAGCAATGAACAAAAACTGAAAACTGGAAAATACTAAGTTTATGAACACACATATTGGTTGTGTTACATTACGATAGGAGTACCCTACTACCATAATGTAAGAGCAAAACTTTATAACAAGAAATACAATACTTAACTTATATGCACCTTTCAATTCTTCAAAAAATATTTGGGACAAATAGAATCTATGTTCAAACTGGGCAAGTTAAATGGAGCAAATACAAGTGCAGCAAAGAAAATCCCTAATTATTATGTATTTAAGTGCTCCCCGACCTCATCACCGATCCCAGAAACCATATACAAACTCACCCACTATCAACAGTTGAAATCAACTGTCAATAAAACTCCACGTCTACTTAATCTTACTTCCCATCCTTGCATTCAATGTAGTCATTAATTCCTTCTGTTTTAGATACACCAAATAAAGCAGATTAAAACTTTCTTCCATTGCAAGCACCTGCTGCACTGAAGGCCACATAGCATGCTGGAATTACTCAAATGAATTATCACAAAATAGGAATCACCAAGAAGAGATGGATCTGTCTATACAAACTAACATGCTAGCATAGCAACAGATTAATGAAGTTCTAAATTTCTGATCCTCCCAATTGGTATAACAGACTAATCAAACAGAAAACCACAGCCAGGAACCAAAATGTAAAACCATTTTGCCACTCATAACGGGCCTCTAGCTCATACAAAGGAACGTTCACACATAAATCTACTAATAAAACCTACCATTCTACTCCATAAGGTACACCAAGGAAAAGTAATGGCGGATACTGATGTAAATGTGGAAGGAAGAATGTTGACTCAAGTATTGACAAACAAACAGTAAGAATTTGCGGCAAGAAACGGATCCAAATTCTACTTTTGCACAAGATTACGGAAGAATTTTGTACCTGGACACCATGGCAGCAACTGCTCCAGCCCACAAATGCTTACTGGTATTAATAGCACCAGCTCCCGCCCCGCGTACTCTAACCTTCTTTTTCTTGACCACCAAAATAACCTCATCCTCCTTCATCTCCTCCACAGAGTTATTCTCCCCATTCTTCTCGAGAAACCCGACAGACTCCCGAGCGAATCCCTCACCCCCCTTCACCGATAAACTCACTGACAAGAATCCACGCACTCTGACCACCGACAACCAGCGAAAAGAAGCCCTTTGGGGGGACGATACCGACGATATTAAGGACGCCGGCACGACAGGGTCGATGAACAATCCACCGGCGACGAATGCGCGCGACTCTCGAAGCGGATCCTCTCCAACTGCCGGAAATCGAACGGGTACGGAGTCGCGGAACCATACTTCGATTCCGCGCATCTCTTCTTCTCTGCTAAGGACTACAAGAGGGGAGGGGCGTATTTCTAGTGTTAGGGTTTCCGTAGGCCGGCATAGGAGAGGCGTGAGGAGAAAGAGAGAATGGAATAAACAAATTCTTTTGCGCAAGGGGCTGAAGCATGTTGGCGTGGACAATGACAGTGGGAAGTATTATGCTTCGGCTCCATGGCAACTAGGGCTTGCAGGTTGGGGCATTTCACGCTTGCGCGTTCAGTAGTCGATCTTTTTCTTCTTTCGCCAATTCTTCGCCAGGATTTTGACCGTCTTCTCGGTGACGACTGAGTATTGAGATGACAGTGGTTAAGGAGAATCTCCGCTGACGAGAAGTACTGATTAATTATAAAATGTCCATATTGTTGCGTATTAGGAGAAGGCCAAATTTTTGAAACGAGCTGCTCAGCAACCATTTTTAGGAGAACAAGCAGTATTGAAAAAGTATTTGAGAAGCAGCGGATACGCTTGGCCTTTTGGCGCTTGTTGGATTGGCGCATTCTATGAATGTGTGTAACAGGAGGACGCATTTGGGTTATTCTACGAATTGCGCCGAAACATTAGGTGTATTCGCTCAAAGTTAAAGAACGGAGGCCCAGATATTTGCAGTAAATGTCAGGCGACATTTTGACTCAATTTTTGTGCTTGAAAACGTTGTTTGATATTAAGTTATACCATTCCTATTTTGCCTCATTTTATTTACTCCAAAAAAAAAACAAATATGGTGCCTCATTTTCAATGCATGAATATAGAAACTTAATTATTTTGTTAATAAGTTAAATACTTAAATACGTCTCTATTTAGTTATATGTATTATATATATTATATATGAATAATATGCTAATTTTGTATAATATTTAATCATATTAAACTTTAAATTGTTAAATTTAATTATATTAATATATTAAAAAAATTTAATATAAAGTAATAAATAATTTTTTTTTGAAAAATGAGAACAAAACTAATAGAATTGTTTTAAGAAATACAAAATTTTTGAAACTATTCTATAGTTTCAAAAATTTACACGTTAATTTTTTACGCTATTCATTTATAGAAAATTATTGGTATAAAGCTAATCTACATTATTTGAGAAACACAGAAGAGCGTAGATGGTATTTCTTCCACCGTATATATTACTTTTGTTTCTGATTTTTGATAAATTTTGTATTGTAGAGGTAATTTTAATTTTTAATGAAGATTGAAATATAATTATAAAAAATGAGAATGAATTTAAATAAGAAATAAATGTAATATATAATATCATAAGTTTTTTTTTATTTAAATCTAAAATAGAACTAATTAAATTTTTTAGAGAAATTGCAATTGAAATAGTGCGAAAAATCATTAACACAAATTCATGAAAATACAGGATAAGTTCAGTAATAGAAATGATGACATATGATTAGAATTGAACAAAGGTAAATAAATTATTATTACATTTGGCTCAGAACTATACGCATACGCGCTTGGAGTTGGGTTAGAGTTGGACAGCATAAGAAATTTGCTGTGAACTGCTGTTGGATGTATTGCCAATCTTTTATGTTTAGAAACTCCTTCTTCTTTTTACCATCTATAATATTCAGCTATTTATATTTTTTTGATAGAAATGCATCTTGATTAGTATGCCATCTTTTATAAAGGATACAATGTTGCACATCGATTATTGGATTCTCAGCATTGACCACAACGGAACCATCTTTTTTCTGTGTGATTTCATTAATTCTTGTACTAAGAATAGGTATATGAGCAAAATGACCATTATGATCCGTAAACCTTTGTCGTATAAATTTCCAGCCCATATCAGTAATTGTTTCTCCATCCACATACATGGGGTGACGACTTTTGATAACTTCGTGATATGTATCCCATAAACTATCGTATTCATACCAAGACCATTCATGTAAACAACATCGAAAAAATTTATTTGATCTTGCTTTCTCCTCCAAGAATTCATCCATAGGGTACGACATTGATTCTGTCAATCAAATTATTCCATCATATATCAACTTCTCTCTTGGAATAATATGAAAGAAATCCCTAGATGGTGAGCCCTTTATTGATGAGGTCCTTGATGATGATGATGACATTATGTGCTAAAATTTAAGCAAATGCGCAATGAGTTATTACTTAAGCAAATAATACAAGTAATTATGTAAAGGCCAATAATACCAAAAGTAAAGAAAATAAGTATTTGAGTTACTTAGCACCTTAATCTTATACATCAAATATTAATAATTGATTTAATTTAAGCACACATCATAGTCATTTCCTAAGCAAAAGTCGTACACGAGCTTGAAGTTGCGATTGTGTTGGACAACATTTGAAGTGGTACATAAATCCGTGTTGCAGGTGGTTCCAATCTTCACCAGCTAAAAATTGTTTCTCCTTTCCATCCTGAGAACATTGTGTTAGCATTTTGTAGTTATCTAAAAGTCATTTATCTGCTTTAGGTCACTAATGATGATATAGAATACAGTGATCCATATCAAGCATTGATATTCCTATCCCCGGCTCAACTGTATCATGTCTATCGCAACTCAGTTCTCGAATACGATCCTTTAGAAAATTTAATGATACTAGCTGGCCGTTCATATCGCAAAATCTATCTTGTAGCAACTTCCAACCACTCGATCGAAGTTCATAGCCAGACCTATATTACCTTAATTTCATAATATCATCATTTTCATGCCACAGGACAACATCCTCGTCTTCCCCCCAAGTATGTAGAAGACATCTAAAAATTTCATTTGTTGTTGCTTTTGCTTCCAGGATTTCATCTGTGCTATAAGACAAACTTTTATGTATACGGGTACTTCCTTCTTCTATTAGTTGTTGTGTTGGTGTGCCTCCCATTTTTTCATTGACCTCAGAGTATATTTTGTAATAATAAACTTCTTCTTCCTTCACATGTGGATTCCTATGAACCAAGGAGCGAAATTTGTTATGAAACAACTTGGAATAATATTCAATTCAAGTATGAAAGAACGTATAGAATACTATATTTTGCGTGCTGAGCATAAAGAAGAGAGCATAAATAAGAGGTCTTAAGTTGTCTTACAGATCATCGAATAATCACATACAATTGAAATAATAAGCATATGTAAGAGAAAATTTTAACCCAGCCCATCTATCGATGACGAGGAAGAGCCCTACTACCATGAGTATATCTATCTGGAGCTCTTCTTCTGCGTCGTTGTAGCTGTTGCTCTTCCTCAAAAAATTCCTCATCTTATGGTGGAAGTTCAGGTCGATGTTGCCTCACATCAGTATAATGTTCTGAAGTTTGTCCTCCCATTAATAATATATCTTGCTGCGAGGGGGAGGATGGTAACCCAACCCTTGACATCCACTCTGATATTGCTATGGGTATAAATGTTTGTGTTGCGGGATGTTGAGATGGTGTACCATAAAAGATTTCATGTGCACTGCTCTCCTGTACTGCAAATGGACTCCAATGTTGTATGGAGGGTCCTAACCCAGACATGTCATAGGTGCTCGATGGAATGTGCATTGAATGTCTTGGGAGTTCTCGTTCAGTATTATGCTGTCGTCGACTTCTCCTGGATGTAGATGGAGCATCAGAAGTTGATCGTCTTGGTCCTTGAGAGCCATGAGAACGTATTCTTTCTGCCCTAGCTTGACTCATCTCAGGTGGTGTGGTGTCAAAAGTAGTATAGTCGATATAAACTGAATGCTGCACTCTGGCGGAGAGCTCCGAAACCTGGTCAATTGCTAACTGTAATGAACTTGCATTTTGTCCTTGACCCCTCGCCATTGGCTCAAGAATAGCACTCAAACGTATGTAGTAGTCAGCCTACGCGATAAAAACTTTTTGTCAAAATATGCTTTATATGAACTTTGTAAAAAATTATATTATTGCGACGTACCACTAATCATTCGCTTGGAGAGCGAGGAAATAAAGTTTCTGGCGGCTCTGTTTGAGGATGTAACAAATAGATCGAAGCCCATGATCTATACCACCGTAGGTAAGTACCTAACTCCTGATTACCTGTTCCTTCTGGGCGGGTTATTGCTACTACATATGCTCTCTTATCTTCCCATATCTCTAGGTAATCTCTATACTGAACAGTCCAATCCAGATCAGCTCTTCCTCTTCCATCAATCCTTCTAAAATTTAATTCCATCGGTGGAACATCAGTGAATTGTATTCCCCCGAATTTCCGCATAACACGATCAGGAAGATGCCACTCAGTACGTTTCTAGCTAATGAGGGGCACTCTAGCACGCCATATGTCGATCCCCTCCAAACAATCGACAGGCAAAGTTGCTAGAATGTCATCCGTGTACTGAGTCATGCTCACCTACATTTATAGAAGTCAAGGATTTCTATTGATTCCATATAAAGGAAAAATTGATAAGGGGTATAGTCCAAAATTTCCTTTTACCTGACTTAGTCGTAAACCGTCAAAATCATCACGATATGTCAACGTGTTACCAGAGGGGAGCTCACGTATCCGATCTTCAGCCCACCTACATTAAATAGGTAATAGCATAAGTAAATATTATCTATGTTTAAACTTTGCTATAATTAAATAATAATACCTGCAACCAAGAGGTTTTCCACCAAAATCATGTATTTGTGGTACACGCAGTGTGGGTCGGCCAATGTACAATCTCTCCCACGATCATACTTGTAGTAATGCAACACATCCGGCAATATAAGTACGTGTGGGCCTGGTCGCATTACATAGCTCTCTATATAGATGTGCAAGAACAGCAGATCCAATAGACATTTGACCGAATGAGTTGACATCCATAAGCAAGGGCAACCACTGCAAGGACACATGTGATCGCGATGTGTCTGGGATCAAAAAGCACCCAATCATGAACAGGATGTAAGCCCGGACATGATGAAGAAATGGACCATGAGCTAGCTGTTCATACGAATCTCTGTAGAAAGTCCAGCGAAGCCAACGTAAGGGGAGCATTGACTCGAACTGTGAACTACACATCCTAAAAGTGGCTGTGTCCTCTTCATCGCCTGGAGCATGGTACACAGTTTCTCTACCTGGATGTGTACCAAGTAGTTCATTACAGCATTCTGGCCATGACTCTCAACGACGACCTAATCCAACAACATTTGGTCCCACAACGGCTGACCCATCAATTTGCAGTCCTAGTATAACCTGCACATCTTGCAGCGTTATTGTCATCTCTCCAACCGTGAAATGAAAAGTGTTCGTAAGAGGACACCATCTCTCGACAAGTGCTGTTATGAGATTATGATCCAAACGTATGAACTGTAGATGTCGAATGTTATGTAGTCTGAGGTTTCGTAGAACATAAATCATGCGGGGGCACTCAACCGGCCACTCACGTGCTGTACGTAA